TTCAACGAAAAGAGTCATCTCGAAGACGGCACAAAATGCTGCCATGCTCCTAAAAGGCATGTAAAACATTTTGGGATTTCATGTAAAACAACAAGTAGTTCTTGAATACTATTTCACGCATGTGAGGTAACCTGACATGCATGAGCAAATCTCATGATCTGACACTGCAAGAAAAATTTATTAATATTACAAAAATCATTCCCTTCTATTATTTCGCTTATCATTGTATATAACTAAGTTTAAGAGTCATTTTAAGCTTTTGAAAAATATGGGTCATATCTAATCATCGTATCAGTGGCACATCAGCCCCAGTGGGCCAAGGCCTTCTGCCTACTTGCAGATTTCAAAACAGACGTTTTCTTTTTACGAGGTAGGGTTGTCAGCCCTACGCCCAAAGCTTATATTAGACCGGGACCTAAGGTTTAAAGTGGATTCCGAACCACTGCAAACGTCTATGGCACCTCCGGGATTCGAATCCGAAACCTGTGGCACCGAGCGCGAGTCACTCGGCCATCAGGCCCTTATATCTAATAGACAGTTGTAAAGAAAAATTGAAAGAATACTTTAAATATTTGAGGCAATTGTTTTGTACTGAGAAAGAGCAGACAATTATTTGGTTATATACAATTTCTTTAAAGTAATTTATATAAAAAAAGTACAAATGTTCCGTTTCTTTCTTTAAAATAGGAGTTAAGTTAATTTCATATTGGTTCCTGTCAACAGAATTAAAACAATCCCATTCCAACGAAAATTTCTCCACGTTGATAAGTTTCTTTTATTTACAAAATAGTAACTATTACAATGGTAATTATTATTATTATTATTATTACCATTACCAATTAATTAACATTTTGTAATGGTTTCATTACAAACTGGTAAATGGTTAATTACAAAATTTTTGTTTAAAAAAAATAAATGAAAAAGATTAGTCTCAAATAAAAAGAAAATTATTAAAAGCAAAGTACATTAAAAAAAAAATTTGTATTTGAGAAAATATATTTGTAAGACAAATGTATGTGAACTACAAAATGTTTACTTTATTTAAATATGTATTCCAAAAGATGTCTTGCTGAAAATTTTCCATACAAGCTAAGTATGAATTTCTATTTTAAATCAGAAAGCATTGAACTTATATCCTGATTTATTTTCTGTACGAATAACATTTTGTCATGGGCTGCTATAAAATCAATATACTATGAAATAATAAGTACTATTTAATTTATTCAGATTTTTTTTAAATATAATTTTCAGATATTTATATATTTAAAAGATTCTTCTTTTTATCAGAAATAATTACTGTACCATTTCTATATAGTTTAGTTTGGTTTGTCGCACTACGGTCATTTTGTACACACTTTAAGCTAATTAGACCGGGAACTACAGTTTAACGTGGATTCCGAACCACCAACAAAGATCCATGCCATGGCCAAGATACGACCCTGAAGCACCAACGGCCAGAGCTCTAGCCAACTGGCCATCAGGCTGCCCATTTCTATATGAGATCAATTGCAAGTTTTTAAATTAATTTTTTTAGGCTTAATACATTAACTAACTAATTAGATTAGTCTATTAGTTATTAATGTATTAAGCTTAAAAAAACTAATGTATTAAAGTAAAAAAATTAAATGTATTACCTATTTTTAATAATAAATCCTATGTAAAACTTAATTCAAATGTTGAAATTAAAATTAGTTTAGTAGAAAAAAAATTAATAAATAAGATAGAGACAGAAAATGTTGCTTTCAAAGTAGGGGACCACACTATTTTCTTTTATCTGTTTCATCTTGCCCTGCAACATTCCAGCTGTTCAGCACAGTCGCCAAATGGGCGATTTAATTCTAAAAATGGCAAACCTTGCACCCAGCCATCTCTCTTTATCTCGCCAACAGAAGAAAATGTTGGTATGCGTGACGTTTGAGGTAGAAACTTTTCCAAAGGTAAGCAAGGGGGGAGGGGGGTCAGAGAAAGAAGGAAGCAACAATGTACGACGAAATCCCACGTGGGGTCGGAACCTGTTTTTACCTGGGGGATTAGAGTGACCCCCTGGACCACCTACGAATTAAGTACAAAGGCGAGAATTTGAGACAAAACAATGCTCCAATAGAATTAGAGAGGTGTTATCGTTTTGGGTGTGTAAACTAACTTTAAAAATAGATGATAGCGCGTATGCTGTAACAAATCAATTATTTGAATGCATGAATTTCATTTTCTTTTGCCATTTCATAAGCCTTTGTTATTTTGAATAGGTAAATTCTTCCAAATAGTATGGGGGGGCGTTAAATGGTATAGGTATTGGAAATAAAATAAATTATAAATTACATAGAATCCTTTTTTAAACTATAATTTATTTGATTCCTTTTTTTTTCGGAGCTGCTTGATGGTCAATTGGCTGTCATTCTCGTCATTGGTACCACAGGCCTTCAGGTTCGAAACCTGGCGGTGGCATGGAGCTTGTTTGTGGTTCGGAATCCATGTTAAACTGTAGGTCCCGGTCTAACTAGCCTAAAAATGAGCACAAAATGGCCATAGAGTGACAAATTAAACCTTTAAAAAATAAACAAATAAAAATTTCTAAGCGCATATATAAATAAGTATTTTGAGTATAATATTAAAATAATAAATTTCGAAATAAATGAATATTACATTAAGTATTACATGAGTGATAATATACTTATAAATGAAAAGGAACAATTTTATAATGGTAATATAAACAATATAATAAATAACATAACTAATAACTAAATAAGAATAAACGATATAATATTTTTACAACGATTTTTTTGTTATATATACAAAAAATAATTCTCTAAATTCCTATTAACAGTGAAAACCCGCTAGTAGCAATACCAATCGCAACAGTTTTGTTATATATATATAAAATATAATTCTAATAATTCTCTAAATTTGCGTTAACGTGAAAGCCAGCCAGTAGCAATACCCATCACAACAGTGTACGATACATTTATATACAGAGAGATTATAAGTCCCATTTTCAAACTGCTGTAAAAAACAAACCACTCGCCACAATGAGTTCAAATTTGAACTGAAAATACTTGAAGAAGAAGAAAACGATACGCACCCCCAAAAAAAAAAATGCCACCGATATTTTCCATACATTTTTTGACCTTGCCTTGGTGGATAGGCTTTCCACTAACAGTGTCACAACTGTTGTATGACTTGAAAGTCATTTTTTTTTCGTCAAAAAACCGAAACATTCAAGCACATTGAACACTACAGTTGGTTTAATGTGCAACTCATGCCAAATACGTCGCCATTTCAATTCGAAATATCACTGGCAGCCGAATTCACTTTTTTTATGCCGCTTACAGCGCCATCTATTAATATACTTTGGAACTTGTTTTTAATGCCGTGCCGTTTCCCTCTTCTTCAGGTATCGTCAGTTCAAATTTGAACTCATTGTGAAGAGTGTTTTTTTTTTTTACAACATTTTGAAAGTGGGACTTTAATTATAATCACCCTGTATATTGAAAACTGTTGTGATTTACAGAACTGAAATTTAGAGAATAATTAGAAAGATTTTTTCATAAAAATCTTTCTAATAATTATCTAAATTCTCGTTAATGAAAAGCCGGCTAGTAGCAATACCCATCAAAACAGTTTTTGATATATTTATATATATTCAAAATTCCTTTTAACCTGAAAGCTAGCTAGTAGCAATACCCATCATAACAGTTTTCGCTGTATACAAAAAATATTTCTAATAATTCTGTTAATTCCTAAACGTAATTCTGTTAATTCCTTTCTAATAATTCTGTTAATTCCTACTAACGTAAGACCTGCTAGTAGCAATACCGATCCAAACAGTTTTTGAAATATACAAAAATATTTCTAATAATTCTGTTAATTCCTACTAACGTAAGACCTGCTAGTAGCAATACCGATCCAAACAGTTTTTGAAATATACAAAAAATATTTCTAATAATTCTGTTAGTTCCTACTAACGTAAGACCTGCTAGTAGCAATACCGATCCAAACAGTTTTTGAAATATATAAAAAATATTTCTAATAATTCTTTAAATTCCGGTTAACGTGAAAGCCCGCTAGTAGCAATACCCATCACAACAGATGTTGTTGTCATATCTCTCATGGAAGACGGGAAGCGGCATCTGTTGTAATGGAGCACCAGTAGATAGAGGTCTGAATTCTGCTTCGTGTAGCTGAAGAAGGACAATGCCTTCAGGGAGGACTTTTAGGATGAACTACCCCGTATTTGCGTATTATATGGGAGATAACCCGGAAAACTCCTACCAGGTAGTCCGACTAATGAGGCAAGATGCGGAACATCACAAATACCATCAAGTGTCCTCCTTTTTTTGAAACAGTGTTTACAACAAAGCCGCCAGCGGATTGAACCTCCGCCCTAATGACCAACCGGCGACGCATGTTACCACTGAGCCACGAGTCATGTATCACAACATTATTTCTAATAATTCTCCAAACTCCTGCTAATGTGAAAGCCCACTAGTTTATATATATATATAAGGAAACGTTGTCACGGGTAATGAAACTAGCGGGCTCTTACATTAGCAGGAGTTTGGAGAATTATTAGAAATAATGATGTGATACATGATATATATATATATATATATATTATTTTTTTAATAATTCTCTAAATTCCTGTAACGCGAAAACCCGATGGTAGCAATATCTATCACAACTGTTTTTTGATGATATATATATATATTATATATGTTGTTGTTTCTTATCCCACTTGACTGGCCAAGCCCACGAGCCCATACGTACTCATGATTGAAGGGGAAGGAAGCAGCTTCTGTTGTGATGAAGCACCCGTAGGTAGAAGTCTGACTTTGGCTTCGTGACGCTCTTACAGTCATAGGAGACCGGGACCTACGGCTTAAAGTGGATTCCGAACCACTACAAACATCCATGGCACCGCCGGGATTCGAACCCGAAACCTGTGGCACCGAGCGCCAGAGCGCTAGGCACTCGGCCATTCAGGTCCCAAATTTGTGAACGCCAACGGCACGCGGTGTTCCCAGGTGGTCACCCACCCAAGTACTGACCGCGCCCAATGATGCTTGACTTCGGTGATATATATATATATATATATATAACATTTCTAATAATTCTCTAAATTCCTGCTAACGTTCAAAGCCTTCTAATAGCAATATCCATTTTCTCGTTATAAGTATTTGCAATTTTAATTTTGCATGATAACAACAAACTTCCAACAAATTTGTATTTATGAAGGCAAAAACCAGTTCTGTGTTAAAATTTGTGCACACACACAAAACATGGATTACGTATCAGTCCAGCATGCATCACAAAAGACACCATAAAGAAGCATAACATTAGTGTCTGATAAGGTATTATTTCCAAGAAATAAAGCGCAGAGGGAATACGTTAGCAGCGTCATAAATAGAGAGTTGTGTCTGCCATAACGTTGCTATCTGCTACAATGCACAGCTCCAGTGCTTTAAGCATTCTTTTTTTTTTTTTTCTTCTTCTTATGAATGGACTCAGTTTTATGCAGAAATTATTCTTTATGATGCGTATGAGTTCCAAATTCATGTGGCTTGATTTGTGACTTTAAAAAAGAGAATTACGTAATAGAAAATGATCGTTTTTGGTAATTTCGAAATCAAACAAAAAAAAAAAAAAAATATTAACAGGTCTCTGTTATGAATTCTAATTTATTTTAATTGCGTCTTATTGAGGCTCGTTAAATCGGCATGAAAAGTGGCAATTGCAACATAAGTCGGTTGTGAATATACTGTATGAAACCTCGTTTAAATCATCACTTTGTGTGGCTAAACATGGAAGGTCGATTTTATATAATATGTTGCATTATTTAGCTCCTTCAATAAAGTGTAACTCGTACATGAATTTTATTTTAAATGGTAAAGAAAATTCAAAAGTATTTTTATCATGTGTGAACATGATGTTGTCCTGGTTAGGGGTCCGTGACGTTATTCGAAAATGAGGGTCAAGAAAATAAAACTTCATTGCAAATTTTGGCGGAAAATGGTACTTCGGGCCCCTTAACTCTTGAAATGATTCATGAATAACGTTAGTCTTCAGGAATTTTTGGGAGAGTTTGGCTTTTGCTTGAAGTGTTTTGTAGTATGGTTTTGAAGCACTTTTCATGTTTTGGGTTGGGATTTTAAATATTTGTATATCCAATGGCTATATAGTACTCGTAATGCGTTGATCAATTCCTTCTTTTTGAAGTTTCACATTTATCACTTTTGGCATTTTCCCATGCCTATTGAACTGTATAGTGCTTCTTATTGTATTTGGAATACTTCACTATGCCCAGAATTTTCAAACTTTGATATATTCTTTAAGCTATTGAATGTTACAGTGTTTCTTGTAGAATTGGGAATACTTCATTCTTCATTTACGACAACATTTATCTTACTTTTGTATATTCTTTTAGAGATTCTTGAACAATTCCTTCTTCATGCAGTTCCTGATCTATTCAACATTGCTATATTCATATGGCTATTTGAATTTTCCCATTCTTGTAGTAATCAATTGCTTCGTTATCTCTTGCATTATTAAACATTATTATATTCCTGAGTTTATTCATCCGTTCTCGAAGTTAATAAATTAAAATTTGCCGAGCAGATTTCAAAACTAACAAATTCTTTAACGAATCATAGGAAGAGAAAAATCATGATGAAAAATTCTGTATCCATGCACCACTGGTTCTTCCAGGAATGAACGATCTTCAACTCTGATATAAAAATGGTAATGGCCTTCGCCTATTCTTAGGCAGAAGAAAAGAAATTCTATTTGATTTTAAGATACATTTAAATATTCTATTAAATATAATCACGAAAAAATTATTCCAATCATGTAATCCGACTCGTGAGTGTGCGTCAACATGTGCAGCTGAATGTCTCTGGGTATATTTGTAACCGTCTTGTTGGCAAAATGTTCAGTTAAACGAAAACGAAACTCGTGCAACTTAAGCATCTGAACGTTTCATTCACAATGCCCGATTTGTGGCTGAGTGGCAAAGTGAACAGCTGAACGACTCGCGGCTCAAGGGGTTGCGTACACAGCTGGCTCGCGGCTCAGTGGCAACGTGCACAGCTGAATGTCTCGCGGCTCAATGGCAACGTTCGCATTTGAACGACTCGTTTCAAAATGAGCAGCTGAATGACTCATGCAACTTGCACATATGAACGTCTCATGCACAGCTGCCTGATTTGTGGTTCGGTGGCAAAGTTCGTAACTGAACGATTCGGGGTTCAGGTGGTTGCGTACGCAGCTGGCTCGCGCCTCTGTGGCAACGTGCACAGCTGAATGTATCGTGGCTCAGTGGCAATATTCGCAGCTAAATAACTCGTCGCAAAATGCGCAGCCGAATAACGCATGCAATTTGGGCATCTGAAAGACTCATGCACAGTTGTCCGATTTGTGACTCGGTGGTAAAGTGGGCAGTTGAACTATTCGTTGTTCATGTGGTTGCTTACGCAGCTGACACGCGGTTCAGTGGCAACGTGCACAACTGAATGTCTTGCAACTCATTGACAATATTCGCAGAAAGACTCGTGGCTCGGTAGCAAAATGCACAGCAGAACGACTCATGCACAGCTGCCCAATTCGTGGCTCAGTGGCAAAGTGAGCAGTTGTCCTACTAGTGGCACAATGGCAACGTGATCAGCTAGTATACAGGACTCAGGTTTGAATCCACTGGCAGCGTTCATTGCAGACACTGCTGAAATGATTCGATGTAGATTGGGGCACCATGAATAAAACGTCTCGCATTGATAGTCAGGCGTGTTTGGTGGACGTTTCCTGGTTTTCTCCTATACGCTAATGCGAGGCAGTTACTTTTAAAAAGGTTTCCCCTGATATGGGACTCACAACAACAGTTTAAATTTATATATTAAAAATTAATACATATTATAATTATGTAGATATATTTTACAGCATTTAACAAAAGAAAATCTAGATTTTCATAAAAACATAAGATGTTGTTTTATTCGGTCGGGTTTTTTTTATTATTATTATTATTATTTATTTTATTTTAGCGATATGATTAGGTTTAGTCGATATGAGATTTTCAGTGTCATGTATAGTTTATCATAAATCGATGATAAAATTATTTGAATATAAATTGATTAAAATTGGGCACTAAAGTAACTAACAAATTTTAACTCTCGATTTGTTTGTAATATTCATTCAATGTTAACAAATTTAGAAGTTAAATTGTTTAATTGTTAACATTCAATGTTAACAATTTTCTGAATGCATTTTTCTCTTATGTATGAATCACAATCTGGAGTAGAAAAAACAGTACAAATACAGGTATTAATAAAGTCGAGATTTCTCTTTATTTTGAAATCATAACAAATGAAGATTATCATCAATTTATGAGAAATGCGCAATCGTTGAGTATGCATGGGCAACTTGTAAAATGGAAGTATGCTAAAAAAATAAATTATTCTGTTTGCTTACTCACATCAACGAGCTATAAAACATTTTTTTTTTTTTTTCATTCTTTTTCAATTACACTTTTGTTTAAATAAAAATAATAAAAAAGAAATAGAAATTGAAAAATGTGTCTGCACTTTCTTTTCATTTATGTGAAGGATGTTTTTTTATTAAAGTTGGTTTTTCATTGTGAATCAAGAAAAAAAAATCAACAATCGGAAAAGTGAATTTTATAAGCTATGTAAATATCGATAATTAACAAAACATCGAGATCGATTAATCGTTTTAAACCAGTTTATGGTTTTATTCTTTTTGGTGCCAGACATATCCAGAACTATTTTATGAAACAAATAAAATTTAATATATAATCATATAATAATTTAATAATAATTATTTAATATCAACCATCACTTTCAATTCTCTTCCTCAGTATTAAGTGAACGAATAGATTTTTTTCCACTTTTTATGCATTATTCGACAAATTGCTAATTTTTAACAAATCTTCATCCAAAATCGAAATTATTTTTGTTCTATATAGAAGTATTTAATTTATTGCTCATATGGCCCAATCGAACTTTAAGATGGCTTATTAAAAATTAATAATGATTTTTTTTCCCAATAGATCTTTTTACAAAAAACTAATAGATTTTTCCAAATTATCTTTTTATGAAAAAATTAATAAATATTTTTCCAAACGAAATTCCTACAAAAAATTAATAGATTTTTGCAAATTATTTTTCTATAAAAAAACAAATAAATATTTTTCCAAACGATATTTCTACAAAAAATTAATCAAGATTTTTCCAAATTATCTTTCTATGAAGAAAATTAATAAATATTTTTCCAAATGATACTTATAAAAAGTTACAAACAATTTTTCCAAGTAGATATTTATACTTTAATGTTTTATTGATTATTTATTCCAAAGAACAACAGAGGGAAGTGAGGATACATGGTCGTATAGAAAGTACTTGAAAAATTGCAACATGTTAACCTATTTATATTTCTGGATATATAAAAAAAGAAACAATATGTTTTGGTACCATTTTAAAAGTGTACTCAATCAACAGTTGTTTTTTATGTATCTGATGTAAATAAGTGAGAAATTTCAAATAAGACCGGGACCTACGTCTTAAAGTGGATTTCGAACCACTACAAACATCCACGGTACCGCCGGGACTCGAACCCGAAACCTGTTGTACCGAGCGCCAGAGCACTAGTCACTCGGATATCAGGACCCATTTTTTTAAAAATATACGTTTACAGTAGTTAATTTAAATATACGTTTACATTAGTTAGGTTACAATACTTGTACGTTACAATATACATTTACATTAGTTAGATTACAATACTTGTACGTTACAATATACATTTACATTAGTTAGGTTACAATACTTATACGCTACAATATACGTTTACATTAGTTAGTTTACATTTGTTTTCAAAATCCATTATGATGTTGATATTATTAAATTCGAAGCTCATAATTACACGTTTTCTTTTTTCCTCATCTGTTATGCATTAAACGTCTTTAAAAAAATCTGTGAGACAAATTACAGTAGTCTTCAAAACATTTCTCTGAATGTTTGGTTTAAAAGAAAGACTTGAACGTCTTAGGTTTCACCAGCCACCATACAGACACCA